GGCCGATGCCCGGTTTCGCTTCGGGGCTCGTAGCGCGGCCCCGTCGGGGATCCCGGTCCTGGTGGGCATCGCTCTTCCCGGTTGCTTAAAAAAGCCCCGTGTTAAATTTGCTTCCCAAAGTGCCAGCTTGAGACCAAATTTGAATTCCTTTTATATAACGAGTTTTCCGTTAACCGCCCACTGCAGCCGGTTTACTAAATTTTTTGCTAAGAGTATGTAGGGAATTCTAGGACCTTGCAAAACTGCTACCTGAAAAAGGCACCTTTTGCTTTAATAACCTGCAATAAATGAAGACTTATTGTGAAAAGAATTATTCTTTGTTTTTTAAAGGGAGAAAAACATTTACGTATATGCTGTGTTTTTTTCTCAATGGGTTTTTCACATGAAATTAAAAGTAATTGACTAAGAAGCATTAAAAAGCAAAAAAACCTGTATGAACAGTTGTAAGACTTTAGGTGTTTGACAGAATGTAATTTTGAAGGTTATTTGCTATGACCAGCATAAGGTAAACTAAGCTTTGGCACTGACTCATCTTTTGGCCCACTTGCGTCTCTGCAGGACTAGGGCCGTAGATATTTTTACCAAATCCCCACCACTGCAAAGCTGTCTACCGTGAGTTTGTATCAATATAAAAACTTCCGGTACTTGATGGTTTTCGGTGTTGTTCAAAGGCTAGGAAGGTGGTGGTGGTGGTAGCGGCCACTAAGTTAAGATCTTACTGAGTTCTGGCATGATGTTCTTGCGAAGGACGTACCTGCTCCTGACAGAAGTCCTTCACCTGCTTCAGGTGTGCAGTAGCTGAGAAACTGCACGTTGTATGCGGACGTTCCTGTGCAAAATTAGATGCTGAGTTATACAAGTTGGGTATTTTGTGATACGCTAGCTAAGCTGCAACAGAAGCAACATTTTTGTCCTTAGAGATTCTTTTGTAGCCTGCAGCATGGTGCCTATATCCAGTAAAAGAAGTTTTGAAATGTTTCTTCTGGTTTTTATCTTCCATCTAGCACAGCAGGTATATTAAAACAACACTAGAACACGTGTGCTCTCTTTAAGCCTGTCTTTTGCAAAGCATAGCGTAGTATTGCCTTAGTTAACGTTGAGCAAAGGCTGGAAAATAATACAGTCTGCCCGTACCTACCTAAAAATGGAGGTGAAAAAAGCAGTGTGATAATTAGATCTCTCCTCTCTGCCTTCTACTCATCTTCACCTAACTTGCACTGTTTGTTAGTATGTTACGTACCCCCAAGATCACAAAGAGCTAATGCGCAGCTGTAATCAAACAAGTAAGCACATAATTTGCAAACTTTTTTTTTGTTGTAGTGCAGGAAATACAGATATAAAGTATGTTTTATATAACTACAAGCTTAGAACAGCTCCCTACCCTTTTTAACAAGGAGATAACCATCAGCAAGCTGTACTGCGCTGTGTACCAGGGCTGTTATTACTGTGCAGCTCTGTCTCTAGCGTTACTTCAGACTTACAGAGGAAAGGCTTTTGGAATACGTAGCAGAACCTTCAGTGTTGTGGGAGGTGAGGTGGTGCGTAATGTACGTGGCTTCTCGAAGGCCATGAGAATGGGATCAGGGTCTTACCCTTTTGGTCCCATGTAGAAGAATAATTCCTGAAGTACTAGCATAGCTTTAAGGTATGCAAATCCTTAGGAAAAAAAAAAGAGTACTTCTGTTTATTAAGTTAATTATTAAAACTGTGTTTGTAAAGGGAGTTAATTTTTTTAATAAAGGAGCCGTTAAGCCTTTGTTTTGAAGACTTAATAAAATAGCTGCCAATAACAGACTATTTTTAATTGGCCCCTGCTTTTCTAACTAAACAGATAGCACGTGCTTCTTCCAGGACCTGCAAAGGCTTCAGAAAGGACTCCTGAATAACTAAGCAGCAAAGAATATGAAAGAAGTCTTCATAGTCTAGAAGCACATATAGACAGTGAAGAGTTACAAGAGGAACCTCCGTGGATGTTACAAAGAACTGAGAAATCTAGGAAAATGACGAGGGGTGAAAGCAGTCTGCTGCTCAGTAGCTGACCTGACTGCGTGGCAACTCCCTTTATGAAAAGTTGTCTTTTAACAGTGATAAAATGGATCATGTCTGGGGCTTACCAGGGTTCACACTTTTCTTCATCTTCACACCACTGCCAGCTTTAACCAGCCTTAATTCTACCCGAACAGAAATTTGTTGAGGCAAAGTCCTCTGTGCTGCTCAGTAGGTAGGAAGGGATGCGAACGGCTGCTGTTGTACCTTAGCTGCTCCGTCAGCCTTTGGCCAGCCTCAGTGTTGTTAATTGGCTAGGCAGCCTGTATATCTCCTCTTTGATAAGGATAATGAGGAATGAGTTCTGCTGTGTGGGGGATCAAAATAGTGCTTGTTGGTTATACTTTGCCTTTGTATAAGCTGAAATTAGAAATCTGCATCTCTGCAGAGCCATCTGTGCCTTTTTGTTATCCTTCTGTAGACTTTCTAGGAGAAAGTGGACTTTTTAAAAATCGTCTGTTAGAAAAGCTGTGCTGAAGAGTAAAATTTTGTAGATTGGGTGAGGCAGATCTGGTTTGGTCTTGGTTTTGCCAGTTCCATGGCTCTTAAAGTAAGGCATCAAAAGCAACTTTATTTTTGAAGAGACTGTTCTGACAACAGTTCAATTGTTTCATTTTAGTTTTCTTCCATCTGTCCTTCTTAATTAGAAGTTACAGCAGCCCTGAAACTGAAGGACAGCTTCTTAATTCCTTCGTCCAGTATTTTGGTGACAGCCTTGGGAGGAAGGTTAAAAGAATGCCTTTAATTGAAGAAACTGTTCTGCCTGGGGACTCCCTCCTTACTCTGCCTGTAGTAATAATAGGTGAGTTTTTTCACTTCTTTTAAGGTTCACTGTCACTGCCATTGCCTTTATAGACCTGCTGCATGAAGTCATTTATCATTAAATAACTAATGCTTAGCATCCTTATGTTTATTAGAGTAATACAGTTGTTATGATTAATGCAGTACCATAAAGTTATGTTAAGGGACTTGCTGTTAGAGCATATTTGAATTCAGATTGTGCTTTGACAAAATGAAACACATTATTTGGCAGGAGATACGTGAGTCTCAACAGAAGAACTGTTTCAATTCTAGTGTTGATCACATAGGCTTTGATTAATGTAGTGTGTACTTCAGGTTGCATGGAGGTTGTTGATGGTGCACCAGTAGAAATTTGTGAAGTCAGATGGGACAGTGAAAAGCATAATGTAAAATGTCTGCTGTATGTTGGTTAGATGCTAACCTCTCTCATTAATGGCCTTTTTCTGTGTTGCGTCCATCACTAATGTCTGAATATTGTCCCATCTTTTCCAAAATGAATCCAAGTCAGTTCAACCAGTTTAAAACAATAAGTTGTAGTTTTGATTAAATAGTTAAAGGTTTGCATTTGTAAAACCTTGCCGAGTGACAGGAGAGCAGAGGGAGCAGACTCCTTAGGTACACAGCTTAATTGAGAGTGCCAGCATGATTTGTATTGGGCCAAGGTTTTTCAGCAACAGCTGGTCACCAGCTCCTTACCGCCATGACTTGATGAAGGGATAAAGAAAAGATCTGGAGTAAAGGAGGTTTTCAGTAATCTAGTCCAAAGCTGTTGGGACTACAGCAAACCAACAGCTTTAATTGTACCTGCAAACAAGCAGAGATTCCAGAGAATGGTGTTCCAGTGTGACGTGCTCACAGTACATCTCCACAACTTTGAAAGACTGGTGTTCGTACCGTGTCTGTTCTCAAAGCTCTCTTCATGATAGCTTAAAATAGTGCTCATGTAATACACTTATGTGGATGTGACAGACGTGAATCAGTTGCTGAGTTGTGCATCATAGTTGAAGAGCAACAGTTTCCTGGCATATTGTCAACCTTAGTATAGGTTTGCCATATGGTTAATGACTCAGTTTTCGCTGTTTAAGTTTTGCAAACACGCATTATGCAAATACCTGTGCTCAATACTTATTTTGCCTAGAATGCCTTTCTATGTGCTGACAACAAACACAGCTGCCTTGGCTATTTCTCCTTGCAAAACATGTATGTTGCCCAAATGCTTGTTCACAGGTACTTTTGAGACCCTTCACAAGCTGGGCTTTCTCCATTGGCATTCTATTATCACTAATTCATTGGCTGGCTGAAGAGCTTTAGAAGGGATCTAAAATGATTTAATAATGTAGTAGAAGACTATAAAAATAGTTGTCATCCCCCACCCCCACCCCCCCGTATATGTATGCACACACACTTATCTACTGGTTTAATCATCTCTGTGTGATTCCTGTGTAGCTGGAGTTAAACATTCTTTTAGCTTCCTAGAACCATCTTCTTCTCATTGCACTATTTTGTTAATCAGAAAGAAAAAGATGGCACACGTGTAAGCAGTTAACTTAGTGATGAAACAATAACTTATATTGCCCTTTCTTTAACTTCATTATCCCCTTTTTCCCCTGTATGATGCCCAGTTTAAGATTTGATTCTCAGCTTGTGCTATATATTGTACCGCAGTTCTGCCCAGAGTCACGTAGATACTGTGGCATTACTAAGTAACTTCTGTGCTATACCTGTCGTCTTCAAGAAATGGGGAAGAAAAGAATACATTCCTTTTGAATGAGTTGGGATTGAAGAATTTCATGCTGGAGCTCTAAGTCTAGAGGATGTTCTGTGCTAAACACTTCCATCTTCTGCACTAGTTTTGATCATTACTCTATAAACACAATGTTTTAATTTTTCATCCAAGTAACAAGGCTGTTAAGATGTTTGAAGTTGATTATTTGCTTTAAATTTAGAAACGTAATGTAAAGATGATTGCACTGTAGTTTACTGTTGATCGGGAGAAGCTTTTGCTGCTACATTAATTAATATTAATGGCTGCTTAAATGAACGGGGCCATGGGGTTTTGGGGAACATTGATTTTATATCTAAAGTTTGTATAATAGTAATATCTCTCAGTTGCGATCAGAGACGTTATTGGAGGCATTGTATGTAAATAAAAAGCAAACTCCTCAGGTATAAATTCTTCATTTCAAAATATTCCACCCCCCAAGGATTTTTTTAGAAATTCACAAGTCTAATTGCAGACCTTGCAGCTGCACGTTAATCTTGTGTGTTCTTGAGAGCATATCCACAAGGGAATTTCTTTCTCCTGGGCTTAGTCTGCTCAAAGAATAGGAACAGGGTTTGGATCTGAATCAGCTCTCTGGATGGTCCCAGGGGAGGGGCTAGGGAGCTCAGTGACAGTAATTCACCTTAAAACAATCCTGTCCTCAGTAATTTCCTTGGCCTTTGCCGGCCTTTGCCAGCCTTTGTTTTGGCAGCTTTTGTTATCCATTTGGTTCTTTTTAGTCTTAGCCAGTAGGAATAATCTTCAGCATGGCATCCTTGGATATGGCACGCGTTTTCCTCTCTCCGTCATGGACTAGCTTCCTTTATGCCTCAGTAGGAAAAAAAAAATCTAGCTATGCACTTGTAAAAAGAAAAAAATTACTTTTACTGTGCGCGAGTTATACAATTCTAAAAATACAGGAAAAAAATATTTACTCAGTCGTGGGAATGCTTGTGAACAATAGGTATGATTAGAATGTTTTCACAACTTCATATGATTTTGTTACTGATGGTTTCAATGTATTGCAAAGGTTCTCTCTCAAATCCATCTCCAACATGTCCAGGGGGTGACTGGAAAGGCTTGCATCCAGCTTAAGCTTTAAATTCATTCCTGGGCTGAGGCATACCCAGCTATCTCATGCTGGTCTGTTTGTGGGAGGGTAGAACAGTGTGAGAGTAAGGAACAGCATTTTCACTGTCTGAAAGATTCCTTATGGTCTTTTTTTGTAAATGGGAAAATAAGAATGGAAATGGTTTGGGAAATAATACAGGCAGGATCACCAATATTTAAACCTTTTGTTACAGACTTTTGATTTGACTGTCTTGGAGATCCTAGTGGTGGAAATCCATGGCTTTCCTAGGCAGTCTTTTTCCAGTGCTTTATGGTCCTTATAGTACACAGGGACTCTTAATGCCTTTATTTTTGCCTCCTTATTTTGGTGCAAAACTCAGACTGTTTGGTAGAAGCCTTTAAGGGACTCATTGTGCAGTCTCATGTACTTGATCAGGCTCTAGGCCTTTGGAGAAAATGTGCTGATTGAAGATTTTTTTACAATTTAGCAGTCCCAGCCTTTGAAGAGCTCATTTGTAGTGAGCCCACATGGTTTTCTTGTAGCCTGTGGCTGTGACTGGTCTACGGACTCAGCATTGTAAGAAAGTATGGGTTGTAACTCTGCTGGGGGCCAGAGTGACGGGTGTAGCTTGGTGGAGGAGGAAAAAGAAATCTGATGTATGAACAGAGTCTCACCAAACTGATGGGGGGATTTAGGGACTGGGAGATCAGAAAAGGAAGACGACAGAGGCATTGGAGAAGTGGGAGTGGAAACAGGTGATGGACATTCTATGTGCAGTGGTGATGAGGAACAGGAAAGGACAGGTGAACTCTTGAGCTCGAGAGTTGAAACAGAAGGAAGAAAGACCTAGCATCCTAACAATGAATGCTATGTAAATGCATGAATGAATTAGTAACTTTACTTTTAGCCCAGAATTTGAATAGTCTGTGGTAAATGCCATGTGTGCCACTCTAGATAGAAAACAAAGACAAAATACTGAATAGTGCCTCATTAGGAGAACACTGTGCTCTTCAATCAGTTAATGAGGAAGAGGAGCTATAGAAATAATAGTACATAGTCACATGTTTAAATTCTGTATCATAGCACATACTTTTCTGACTTCAGCTTTCCCTAGCTTTCGATATCTGACTTTGCAACATATTTGCGTATTATGAATATGGTCCCCTACTTTGTTTAATCCTAGTCAAACAAATAGGAATAATTATCTTATGGTAACATTTTGGTCTCATCCATTTCACACCTTTAATAACAATTGGAAAATAAGTTAGTCTATTCAAATTGCAGTAATGCACATAATTTAATTATAAAACATTACCAAAAGGATATAGAAGGATGTTTGCACTGATACTACTACTGAATGATGAATGTGGTCTTACATGAATTTCTTGTAATTTACAACTTACTGTATCTGCCTTCACTCAGCTTTTACGTTGCTGTTGTGCTGTGTCTCTAGCTTCTCATGACTTGCACAGTCTTCAGCTTTCTGCTTGTCTCGTTATTTTATGATCAGATCTGAAGAGCATATACTCTAGGTTGTCTTTCTGTTCTGTGTTTTGCAGTACCCAATGTAAGTGGGAACACAAAGTTGTAAGATGGCAACAATATTCAGGTATCGCTGTGATTGACAAGTAGACTAGATCTTACCCATCGGATCATTTTCACACAAGAATAGTGAATTTGACATACTCAATTACGAAATTCCTTTATATGCATTTTATTTCATGGTGTAAACAGTCATTCATTTCTTGTAACCTGAAAAACATTTTGCTCACTTTATTTGGAAGAAGTTCTTATGGTAGGCTTTACTTTACTGTGAAGTTTATAAGCTGCTTTGAATCAGGACAGTGTCACACTATACTATTTTAGTATGATTTTGTTGCTGGTTATTTAGTGACTTTGCAAACTTTAGGTTTTGACATTTTTACTAAAGCAGTAACTTCTTTCTTTAATAGGAAATGGACCTTCAGGAATTTGTCTTTCTTACCTGCTTTCTGGATACAGGCCATATTTGTCTCCTGAAGCTATACACCCGAACCCCATTCTACATACAAAATTAGAAGAAGCTCGACATCTTTCCATTGTTGATCAAGTAAGCTTTGAATCATAGAATTATAGAATGCTTTGGGTTGGAAGGGACCTTAAAGATCACCTAGTTCCAACTCCCCTGCCATGGGCAGGGACACCTTCCACTAGACCAGGTTCCTCAAAGCCCCATCCAACCTGGCCTTGGTTGCCATCTTGTCTAGCTTTTTTCCTACTCCAAGCTGAATTATGAAACAGTAGGCTTTCTTTAATGATCCTGTTTAAAATGCTTTTGCAACTTACATAAGTAGTGCCATAGACAAAGAAAGACTTAATATTCTCAGCCCACAAAGAATTAGACCACAGTAAAGCTCAGTAACTGTGTGGCCTCAACCAACTAGATTTATCTCTTTGCTGTAAAATAAAGAGCTGTATATGTCATCTTCAGTGGCTTGTAACAAATTATATATAGGGCACTTCAGATGAAAAGCTATGCATTTTAAGAACTGCTTATCCAAAAACATTATGCAGGTTTCATTGTGAAGAACCAGCCCACTTACCTAATTGCATTTCTAATGCATTAATAAGTTATTTTGTTATTCTGTTAATTTAAATAGAATCAACTCATGACCATTAGGTCCAGTCCTGGGGCGTGTGGTTGTTTTTGTGGTTCTTGAGGGCTTTTTTTGTAATGTTTTTTTGGTTTTGCAGTGTGCCCTTTGTTGTATTCTTACTGCTTGACAAAAGCATCTAAAGCACCACTTGGTCAGGGAGTAGCTGATGCAGGAATTCCAGCTTTCATGTCCTAGGATGTTTGGGCACTATCATAAAAGAACACATGTTGCTAACATACTTCAAGTACACATACTTCAGGTTAAAATCTTCCTAAATAGCACAATTCTTATTAAGACTTCATTTTTTAGTAATAATAGGGACATATCCTCTATAGACACAACACATTTTTCTTTTCTGAACGCTATGCATCCTTCAGTGTTTGTGTTACACTCACAATTGCTTTTGTGCTGTATTTGTTATCCTTGTATAGATCCAATTTTTCTGTCTCATTTGATTAGTTAAATCTTCTCCTTTATTGTTCTCCCCACTTGTCCATTTGTTTGCCGTCATCATTGTTTTCTACTCACTTCACTAAACTTGGTGGATAACCCACAATACTATCGCTAACTGTATTGCCTGTGTGACTAATTTGTCTAAAATACGAACACACATATGTGTTTGTAGTGGGGAAGTAGGGGTTGTTTGGCTTTGGGGGTTTTTTTGTTTGTTTCAGTGTTGTGCTGTTTGCATGTAATGTTAACTTTAAGTCTCAAGGGGGTTGTTTTTTGGCAGGAGACTAAGTTGCCTAAGCTTTTGGCTATAGATGTTTCATGTACTTCATCATTCCCCAACCCCCTGAGATTCTCCCAATTTAGGAAGCTAAACTGTCCTGTCTTTGTCAGCAGAAATTGGCCTTACAGCCAATGCTTTCTTCAGATCTCTATTCTGTCTTCAAATATTTGCCATTCGCAAAGTTTTTAGAACACGGCTGGTTAATAGATGCTGAAATGTAAACATCTTTTAAAAAGTTCTAGAAATTGTTCTCAACATTAACTCCTTTGTAAAATAAGCCTAGTTTTAGTTAATTTTTAAAAATAATACTTACAATACCTCCATTATTTCAAAATATAATAAAGTTAGTGATGGAACTACCTAAGAGCTGTCAAAGGAGCTTTTTCTACTCAATCTTTAAAACTGAATGTTTTTAGATTCCGATTTTGCTTTATGAAAATGTGGCTCCTAGAAATACTAGCAATTCTTCATTAAAAGCAGTCTGCTATCTATAAATATAAATGTCACTAAGATGCTCTGATCTCTGAATATTTGTCCCTGTATTTCTGTTTCTACAATGCATTTCAAATACTGACCTGCCCCGATTATTACTGTGTTATTAACATGTAAATTTTACATGAGTGAAATGTTTTTGTTCAGAGTTACAGAAGAACTGAATCATGGCAGTTATTTCTGAAAAGTGTTGTGATTGAATATCTACATTAAATACTTATCTCTACTTAAAATGCAACTTGAACTAATTTTCTTTTGAAATTCAGCTTCTGTGTATCAGAACAGCATGATGAACAGTAGAAGTTGCATGAACAGATCAAACTTTCTTTCTTACTTTAGGATCTGGAGTACCTGTCTGAAGGCCTCGAAGGACGCTCGTCAAACCCAGTTGCAGTGCTTTTTGATACACTGCTTCATCCTGATGCTGACTTTGGGTATGACTACCCACCAGTTTTGCACTGGAAGCTGGAACAACATAATTATATTCCCCATATAGTGCTTGGTAAAGGACCACCTGGTGGGGCTTGGCATGTGAGTAAAAACTTTGTATCACTTCCAGGGTAACTTGATAATTTTGTGGTTTGGGGGTTTTCTTACTACCTAAGGTTGTTTTAGATAGCAATGGCAATTGCAGTTTCAAGTGGTCAATTACCAAAGCCCAAATACCTTAGAGGGATGCGAAAGGAAGGAAAAAGGTGTCCTTAATTTGGGGATTTGTGACTACGACCGCTGTCTTCTGTGGGGTTTTTTATTAATTGTGATTTAATGAATTATAATTAAGAGTATTTTCTCTTACTTTTTTCTCCTGTCTTTGCATTGTTTCCAGGTGCTGTTTATACAGAATCTTAAATCTTAATGTTCATATCCTGTTGGTTTCAGACTTTCTTTTTCTTCTTGGTTTAAGTAATTTCCTTTTAGTTTCCCTTCCACTTGTTCTCTTTTCACCTTCTGTTTTATTAGATCATGCAGTTGCTCCTTAAAATAGCATCTAACTGTAACACAAAAGTAGTTCATCAACGCTTCATGTAATGTCCTGGTATTATGTTATGTTCTGATATTTTATCGCTCTAAATTAATACAATGAGAAGAACTTCGCTGTGTTTTACATAAATTTATCAATTTTAAATGTATCTGGTCATGCATCTTGTTTTTTTTTCTCTGTAGTCCATGGAAGGCTCTATGCTAACAATCAGTTTTGGAGACTGGATGGAATTGCCTGGCCTCACCTTTAAGGAGTGGGCAGCTAGCAAACGCAGGTAAAGATATCGCATAATGTATATGGGAAATGTAGTTGCTGTAAGAATCCAGGTAACATTGTTTTAAGAACTGGAAAACAGTCAAAATGATTCTGCTGCGTGTACTCTGATGGGAAAAAAAAAAAAAAGGACAGTGGTTGGCCAGAGTGCTTTGAGTGTATCGAGAGTGTACACACTAGCAGTGGTGTGTTTTAGCAACATTTCACAAAGAAGTACTGTTACTGCAAGCAGTTTTGATCAGAGTTGAGGGAAGACTGAGAGAGGAATTTGAAATCTACAGAATTGTTGGAAGTTCCTCTTTCAACATAGGTGCAACTTAAACTGCTGTACAGACTAGCTTGCTTGTAATTCAGGAAGTTGTATATTTCAGTATTTGCATTTACAGGCAAAGCTGCAGCATCTGAAATATTGCTATCTATGAATTTTATTTTTAAGAGCATAGTTCAGTATTTCCCCATGTTATTTTCTAGTAGTAAGTTTCTTGGAAAAATTTCAGAGAAGAAAAATTATTGTTTTGTCAACCTCACTGGTTTTACTTCATTATACGATTAGTTCACAAAGGTCTATGTCAGCAGGTGAACCTAGGAGTGCTCTACGTAAGCTTCTTCTAAAATATTAATTTTCCTGGCTTTGTTCTAGCAAAATTAAAGGAAGTTGTTCTACCATGTATGGCAAAAGAAGAAGTAAAATTACTTGGGCCTAGTCTTTAAGGGCAGACTGTTACTAATTTCAGGACACTTATAGTGAAGAATCTGTACCTTTGTTCTTTAATCGCTTTCTTAGATAACCATGGTAATCTTGCCTCCTTATTAACTGAAATCCCATAAGCTGCTTATTATCTGAAGCTAATTTGTTTATATTACAGTTTTCAACAATACTAAAAACAGAAATGCTGACCTTTATACTACAGTTATACAAATACTACAATTAAACAAACGTATTTAAAAGTATTGATGGTAATGAAAACTTTTAGTCATGTAAAATAGTTTCCTAAGTTCCCTTGTAACAGGTGTCGCACCATCACATTATCCTCTTCAACAAATATCTCATCTGGATTTTCAGAGTAGTAACTGGAATATTTAAAAGTACATATGCTATTATCTTGTTAATCTATGAGAATGAGTAGCCCAATTTCTTGTGAATACGCTTTTAAGCATAATTCAGTGTCAATCCTGATGTTCACTATGGTTTCTTTTGCCTTCTTCCTAAGCTTACTTCTAAAAAAGCAGCAAAATTCATGCACCTGTTCAAAATAATTACATTTTCAGCTTATTTTTTGATAATCCTATTTACATAGTTGTGTTAAGGTTCTGTGTCATACTTGCTTTGTTCATTCCTGTGGTATGAAACTACTTCATTTGATACTTACTGAATGTTTATCTGTAGCCAAAGGAGAGATCTTTTGCAAACTGTAATGAAGAATACTTGACTCAAGTAATACATCGAACCTCAAGTTTCAAAATAAGCACTTAACAACTACTGTGATATTTAATTACTTACATCCTAAGTAAGTGTATTCTCACTGAGTACAAGTTTAGCCAGTATTGTATTGTTGACGGTCGTGACGCTAAACTGGCTCTGTAAAATTCTTCCATAGAGACTTACTGTGATACTGCACAGTTTCGTTTTATGCTTAATTTGTTAATCGCCATAGCACCTTGTAAATCTTTACAACTATTAAAAAAAACCCACCTTGGCTTGTCTTGTCTTCAAGAGAACAGATAAAATAAATTGGTTGCATTTAAAGATATTGAACCCAGTCTCAGTTACACCAAGCAGATTCAATCCTCTTAAATTTGGCTGTCACGTGGTATGTCATATATGATATTCAGATTACCAATAAGGTCTAAATATTAACTGAAACCATTTGCTTTTGTTTCAGAAATATAAAGAGTGATCGAGTAATGCCAGAGGAAATAGCTTGTTATTATAAACACTATGTTAAAGTCATGGGTCTCCAAAAGAATTTCAGAGACAACGTTTACATAACGTCAGTATCAAGGCTTTACCGAGGAAAGGATGATGAAGACAGAAGTCAATTAAATGAAAATATTTCAACACAGCATTTGGAAATGGAGGATGGACAGGAATCGCTGATTAAGAGAAACTGGGAAGTCAGAGGTTATCAGCGAGCAACAGATGGTTCTCATGTGCCCTTCTGCCTCTTTGCTGAGAATGTGGCTCTTGCCACAGGAACCTTTGATTCTCCTGGACGACTACAAGTTGAAGGAGAAGACTTCCCTTTTGTGCTTCATTCCATGTCTGACTTCGGAGCCGCTATCAGCAAAGGGAAGTTACGTGGGAAGGCAGACCCTGTGTTAATTGTGGGTGCTGGACTTACAGCAGCTGATGCAGTACTGTGTGCCTACAACAACAACATCCCAGTAATCCATGTGTTCCGTAGAAGAGTTACCGATACGAGTCTAATTTTCAAACAGTTACCTAAAAAGCTTTACCCCGAATACCATAAGGTCTATCATATGATGTGTACGCAGTCACATACTGTGGACTCTAATCTACATTCTGCTTACACTAGTTTCCCTGAACACAATGTACTTTCCTTCAAGCCTGAAATGAAATGTGTTCTTCAGAGTGCCTCCGGACTGAAGAAAATTTTGAAGTTTTCTGTAGCCTTAGTTTTGATAGGTTCTCACCCAAATCTTTTCTTTCTAAAGGACCAAGGACATAGCATAGGTCATCACTCTAATCAGCCCATCACATGCAAGGGGAATCCTATAGAGATTGATCCATACACTTACGAATGCACTAAAGAAGCTAACCTCTTCGCTTTAGGTCCTCTGGTGGGAGACAACTTTGTACGGTTTTTAAAAGGAGGTGCATTGGGCATTGCACGATGCTTGGCAATAAGACAAAAAAAGAAACATGAATTGATTGAAGGTGGGGATGGAGGAGGTGATGGGGTACCATAAATGAGACGTTAGAAACTTTCACATACAGGATTACAGACGTAGTCTAACAGAACACTCACTGACAGCAAAAGTTGATAGCAGTCACATTTCTGTTGTATACAAGTAACCTGCGCTTGTATTGCTTGGTAAAGGATGCTGATACCACAATACTTCACCTTTTCAAAGTACAAAAAAATTGATCTGCTATTACAACTGATCTCAACTGGAATGACTTCCAGATAAACAGAAAATGAGACTAACTTACATTGACCTGCCTGTCGTCTCTTGCTCAGCTAAAAGAGCAGACTTCCTCTGGGAAAAGCAATGCCTACCAGAGTGGCTTTACATTTTAGTGTCAGATGTGACAAAGTATTTTTACCATAAAATTAAAATAACTTCTAAAAGCAGAAAGCTTGCTTAGTACAAAGTGATTCTTGGTCCCAAAGCAAATTTGGAGCCTTCTGCTTGAAACAAGGATTTTATTTATTTGCCACAGTAATACAGGGATACCTTGAGCACTTAGTAAAACGGTTTTTACTATTTACTATAACAAGGATTTCTCTAAGCAAGAAGTTTTCCTCAACAGTTATAAATTATCCAATTCGATAATTGCAATAAAAGAATAAGCATTCCCATCTAATCTTTAACGCACGATTTGCCACTTAAAACATTCATGTTTTTTGACACCATGCCTAGAGTTGGGTGAGTGCAGAAAGACTTAACATGAGATGTTCCCCTACAGCGATATGTACCTTCTGAGAACACTCATTAACATAAACAATAAAGTACTGATATAAGTGCTCTTATTACAGTGTCAGCATAATGAATATCTAGCGTACTACTGAAAAATTAAGTACATGACAAAACTTAAGGTGTTTTTGCTTCCTAGCTCAGGAAGACTGAATGGGATCACTTGACTGATAAAGGTGGGTGATAGATATTCTCATGTCCCATTTGACCAAGTACTGGTTATTTCTCTTTTTTTCTAGAGCAGCACATAACACTAAAGCTACTTCAGCCTGCAGTTTTTGAAACTTGAAAAAGGCTTGCATCTCACAGCCGGCTAAAAAATAATCAAACCAAACCCAAACCATGCCGTAGTTCCTATAAATCTTAAAGCTTGTTATGAAAGACAAAGACTTAACTTGTACCTACCTCTGAATTGAAGTTTCACCTTTCTGCTCTATGACGTAAGACCTAGATTTCATTTGCTGGGTTTGAGAGTAGATAGTTTACCTAAACATGCTCATGGGTTGTTCACCATAGTGAGGTAAGCAACAGCTCGTCAGAAGACTTAAGTTATCTTCCAGAACTCTCAATAGACCAAGTGCTTGGTTTTAACTGATTTATTGCCAAACATTTTAATTCAGGTCCAGTGTGATGGAATAGATGTTACTTAATTTAATCTTTTGTTTGGGGCTTTTTTTTTTTGTGTTGAAGAATGTCATGTTAGTTTAAGGTATTGTATTTGCATGATTAAAATCTCCGTACTAGAACTTGAACAGATTTTGAAAAGGAAATTAGGCTTAGACTTTGTGAAACTGCTAGTGCTTGCTGGTTTCCCAGCTGTCGAACTCCCTTAAGTTGTAGATACCTATATGCAATAAATGCCTGTTTTCTGTGCCTGCTGCATTAGGGGGTTCTGTGGCTACTGCAGGCCTTTATGCATCTGAGTAAGTTACTCAGGCTTTGGACATAGAAGTTGAAAAGGTAAAGTATGCAAGGATTAAAATGAGAGTATCTTCATTGAAAGTCCAAAGTCATTTATGAAATGATGCTTCTAATAACAACTTTTAATTTAGAGCCAACTTAATTGCATAAAAATAAACACAGACAAGGCAAAACTTGTATGAATTTTTGCATTGCCTACATGGTTGGATTTAACCATGCATTGTCAATACTAGTTAAGATACTTTCTTTATACTTCTGTTTGAGCTGGTTTTAATTATGATAAATTTTAGGCTTATTTTCTTCATAATTGAATTGATATTCTATAATTTGCCTTCTTTGGCAGAAGTTGTGTGTGTATAGATCTGTCCTAAACTTGTGATACCTAATGACTTTAACTGCAAATCAGTGTTACAAGTGCTGAATACTTGATTGTAGAACTTCATTGCAGTTACATATTGGGAACACATCTGCGCTGTGATTACATTCCTTCAGTTTTGTGTCAGTATAAATGTCCAAATACAACGTATCATGGCATGTTACCGCATTTTCATGTGTCACGTGAAACATTTGAAATGCCAATAAGACAAAGGGAGCAATTTAATTCAACGGCTGTTTTGCAAAAGGGGCAGAAAAGCTTCAACCAGCCACATCTCTCCCCTCAGCTGCTGCAGCTGCCTTACAGGCTGTGTGGTGGTGTGACAAATTCGCAGCAGAGATGTTTGTCCTGTTATTACACAGGTATCTTCCGCAGAAGGGTTGCAGCACCTTGAGGTTTAACTGCTTTTTTCTGCTACCAGTCTTGCCAGTATTTTTGAGATAAAAAATTCGCACGTGAGACCCCTTAGTTGGGCAGAGCTTTTTTCCCCTCAGTAGTCATGTATAAAAATACTTTTTTCAGCCAAAGCTTTACTAAAAAAATCATCCTGTTTCTTCTAGGAATTGCTAGTTTTAAAGTTGTGGCCAGACTTTCTCATGACTGGGTTTCTGATTTTTAGAGAAACTTCAGTTTCTCTTCTCTTTGGTATTTTGAGACAATAAGAAATGTAAAAACTCAAGCTTTGCCTTAGGATAGTCTTACCTAAAGCATTATGTCATACTTACTGCATTTATTGTGGGTTAGTTGTTGGCACTGAATAGTTGTCTTTTGGGGAAATATTTTGTTTCTCAGATTTAAAAAAAAAAAAAAAAAATTTAATTTCCTGTATGTTATAATAGCTCCCAGAAGGGAGGCTGTTTGGTTCTTTCAGCTCTTCTTTCAGTGGGAAAGGTAAACTTTTAAACATCGTGGATTTAAAAAGGATGCTTACTACTTGAGGTTTATTACTAAAATACAGGAAGAACATGATTTTTAACAAAAGGAATTTAATTTCCATTTGCAGAGTTTGTAAAATATGTTAACCTATACTGTGTATTTTCTTATAGGCTAGTGGGAAAATGTCTCTTACATTTGGGTTTGGTTCTTAACACTGAATGTGTCTCCTAGCTAAATTATTGCTAAGATTGTTTTGAGTAGTGTCCAGCTGTTGAACTGGGGCTCAGACTTGTCATAGAAGATTTCCCGAACCATCTGCCTCGTATGTGATGATTTAACGGTAGGTGCTCGTTAATGAAGGCAGCTGACGGGGCAGCCAGAAAGCAGCACAGCCTTTCTTTTGGTTTCCAGGAGATGATTGACTTCTGCTTAAACCACTTTCCACAAAAGAGTAAGGCTAAGTCTTACCCTGGTGAGTAAACACAGAAATCCTTCCTGCAAGCAATCCAGAGAGAGTGGTGGCAATAACGCTGGGTTCTTCTGTCTCTTAGGAAAAACGCATTGCCTCGGGCCAGCAACCTGGGCTTGCCAGTGAACGCGTGGGAAGCGTATAGCTCGCAGAAACAGCGCCTATACACTGAGTATGGGACACCGAAGTGCATCCCGCAGCTGTAGGTCCCCACTCCTCAGCACTTAGGGAATTGTTGGGATATACTGTGTTTTCCTTCTGGCCTGGTGAGTGTAGGCACCTTTTTTTTTTTTTTTTTAATTATTAATTTCATAGAGTGATGGTTGCATAATCAAAAATACTAATTTTGCAGAGGGAAGTGGCTGTAGCTTCTTTCTCTCGCAGCCTGTGAAAAGAAGGGCAGAGCCAGAAATCCAGAGTACTTACTCAAAGCTGGAGGAAATCAAATGAAGACCCAGACTTCGAGGCAGGCCTGACCCACGTATCCAGTTGAAAGGAAGAAAAGTCCATTTTTAGGCCAACTGCCCTTGAGAGAAAGAAGTGGTGTAAAATTTGCAAACTTCCAGTGAGTGCCTCACTGATAACAAGCCATGACCAAGTGAGGAATGATGGGAGGAAAGCAGAAAAAATCTGAGCCATGTGAACTGCAAAGCGCTATAGGTGCCGAAGTGAATTCATGCAGGGTTGACAGGCTGGTGGTCTCCCACCCTCTTGCATCAAGGTCTGCATACTGTAACTTCAGAGCTCGGCGCCGGAGCTGTTAGTCTCACGTGTGACCATGTATTTTTAATTGGCTCTTCACTGAAGTTACGCTGAAGTGCAACATGCATGCATGAGCCAAGAAGCAATTGCATTTGCTCCAGAAGCTGTAGGACTGCATTGGTAAGGTGGTGTGCCAAGAGGCAGGACTTGGTTGCTCTGGTACCGTATTTTCTACTTCTGAGAAAGCAAGCAGGTTATTTTCGTGTAATAGCGGAATCTGTGCCATGCTAGCTTCCAAACCTTTCTAAACAGCAAGAGGTAGCACATGTATTCCTTAAAGGCAGCTGATTATTCAATTTTATTATCAGCCACAGAGCAATGATTTCATTTTGAAGAAGCTGTGGAACAGAAAATGCTGAAAGGTTTATACTGTTACATTTTAATTTAGATAATATTTTAGAGCCTTCCAATAACAATGTTCTCTCAGCATTTTGGATTATTTTTTGAGGTGTTGAACACAATACCTCAACTGATGTGAGAGCTTTTTAGACATTTGCTTCCCCTTTTTCCCCTTGCCCAACCTGAAGGAAAAGTCACACTTTGTTTGAAATAACCGTAATACCTGATTCTATTTAGCAGAAACAATGAAAACGCAAACATTCTTTGACAGAGAAAGGAAGGCTTTGGTGGCATAGAATCATAGAATGTTTTGGTTGGAAGGGACCCCTAGAGGTCATCTAGTCCAACCCCGGCATTAAGGGCACAAAGCTGAAACTAGAACATTGAATTATGAACAGCGTGGGTTTGTTTTCTTTTTTTAAAAAAAGGCTGTATTTTAGGGACTATGGTACACATACGGTGTTTGAGTTTAGCTAATTTTTGACACTTGAATTACACAAGGAAGTGTGAGGTCAAGGATGAATTGGG